AAATGATAATTGGTTTGACTTTCTGACAACTAGACTCCAAGGGCTATAACTTTTATTTGTTGCTCATCTCTCAATTCCTTATATATTACGAGATATAAGCTTCCAAAGTCATCCATGTGCAACAGAGATTTCCAAACTCTTCCTGGACAGCCTATAGTATATCCACCATAACTTTTTGTATGCAACTCTAAATGACAAATAGTTTACCTTTCTGAAAACTAGACATAAAGGGCTACAACTTTCTTTTTAGATCATCTCCAAATTCCTTATAGATTGCGAGATATGAACTTCTAAAGTCAGCCGACGAACAGTAAAATTTCCTTCTTCGCGAACGCGAGAAACTCTTCGCGAACGCGAAGAACAAAGTCCTAACAGCAAAATCCTTCTTTTGACATAACGAAGCTATTTCAATTTTCAGAATCGGATTTCGGCCCCGATATCAAAATGTCAACCCCTCGGTCAAACTTTTTAAAAATTTATTTTGCGCCATTTCAAGCCAAATTTCTCTACGGACCTCCAAATAATTTTTCGGACACGCTCCTAAGTCCATAATCACCATACAGAGCTATTGACATCATCAAAATTCCATTCCGGAGTCGTCTTCACACAGTTCCGACTACGGTAAAAATTCTAAGACTTAAGCTTCCATCTCAGGGACTAAGTGTCCCAAATCTCTCCGAATCATCCGTAAATCAAACTCGACCGCACACGCGGGTCATAATACATATTGCGAGGCTGCTCAAGACCTTAAGTCACTGAACGAAGCGTAAATTTTTAAAACGACAAGTCGGATCGTTACAGTACCCCTAATCTCTACACTTGGCAAGGTTCAAATAACTTTTGCTCCAATTAGCGTACGTAGCCGGCAAAGAAAATAAAATAACATAGTATTTGAAAGCTGTCTATTTGTAAATCCAAGAATCCAACAACAAAAGGACTAAGAAAGCAAAAATAACAAAAAAGACAGTACGTACTTTTAGATTTAATCGATGTTGCAGGTTCAAAATATACTCAATTAGAAAAAGTTAACATATAAAACACTCAATATTGGGACTCGTTTTAGAGAGTATAAAAGGACCATTAGATTAAAGAAGGGATATGTTAGAAAGGCTTTGAGTTTAGGAAAATGTCTAATTATCCTCAGTATAACCTTGATGAAAAACCTTCCTCTTCATCAAAAATACCATTGATTACATTAGGTGCAAGGGTGGTAACTCTAGCTACTCTTCTGGTATCATGGGGTGTGTTGCAGACTAGTGAAGTGACTTTTGACAATGGAGCTAGACTTACCTACGATTATTATCGCTCATACAGGTATATTCCCCCTCTCGTCACGATGACTGTTTTAAAATTCAAATATTTCATTGAGCGGTGGGTAGAATTCTTTTCAAATAATTTAACTATATGATGGAGTGTTGTAAGTAGTAGAGCGGCCTTCTGCCGCGATCCACTAATTAAATTTAGTCATTTGTCGCTCGGATTAAAAAAGAGAAAATGATCCTCTATAGTCCCTCAAAATTTTAACGGCTCATATTTTTCTTCATTGATCCGAAATGTCCCTCCGATCCAAGCATATTATATTTAATAGCCCGAAATATCTATTTTGTATATTTTTTATATAGTGATAGTTTATTTTGTATATTTTTTATATAGTGATAGTCTATTTTGTATATTTTTTATATAGTGACACTCTATTGTATATAAATTGTACAGTGACCGTCTATTTTGTATAGTGACATCTATTTTGTATATTTTTTATATAGTGACAGTCTTTTTTGTATATATTGTATAGTGACATTTATTTTGTATGTTTTTTGTATAGTGACAGTCTATTTAGTATATAAATTGTATAGTGATAGTCTATTTTTTTGTATAGTGACAGTCTATTTAGTATATAAATTGTATAGTGATAGTCTATTTTTTTGTATAGTGACAATCTTTGTATATATTTTTTGTATAGTGACAAATCTTTTTGTATATTGAATGACTACACATTTATAAAATCAGTCATTACATAATTGATGTGATGCATCTTACTGTAATTTTTAATTATTTATAGTCTGTTAGTGTATCTAGGAATTGTAACAAATGGAGTATACTCCATGGATCCTATGTTTGAACTTACGTAGTATTATATAAGTAAAATTTTCAGTTTCTAATTAAAAAAAAAAAAAAAAAAAGAAGGAGTACACTTCACAATTCTTAAAAAGAAAGATGCAAAACAAGCAAAAACAGAATATTGATTTTTATTTTTTTTGGCAACTAAAAATTTTCATCATCAATGGAGTAATGTACAGTAAAACATCCCGTCATGTATAGCGAAATTTTCTTCTTTTTTTTTTTTTTTCTGTGTAACCATATCTTGACTAAAAATAAAATTTATTAAGTGCATGTAATATCAATCTTACTACGGGAACTATCAAATTGAGAAAGTAAAGACTAATATTTATGATGGGTTATAATTGGATGGTGGAGTTGGACGTAGCAAAAAGGCAGAATGAAAAAGATAAGGTGGGTTAGCGAATATTTTGTTGTAGCTAATGCAATAAGTTTTTGACTATAACTTGCAATCAAATATAATGGGCTAGCGGTTGTCTTAAGTTTGCCGAATGGTCAATTATGTCAGAACCTCAAAAAAAAAAAGTTCCCTCTCCCATCGATGTTATAGTATTAAAGTAAGGATATTTGAAACTATTTGAGGACGTATCATTAAATGTATAATACATATTATATTTTTTTATAGTATAGCAATTAGACAAGTACTTACTAGAATGATTCTTCTTTTTTCTTTTTCTTTTGCAGCTATACGCTTTTTGCTGTGATAGCAGGAGCTGTCTACAATCTATTGCACATTCCTTTTGCAATATATTTCCTCATAAGAAAGAAGCGATTGATAAACCACAAGGTTTTTCGCCAGATTGAACTCTATGGCGACAAGGTTAACAACAATTTCCACTAATTTCGTTCATCTATATAGCTATCAAGAAATAAGAAAATGAAAAGTGAGTCTTATTCATGTTCTCCTAAAAGACTTAATTTATATATATGGATAGCATAAAGATTTTTTAGACCTTTAGCGTATTTATATATATACTACAAGTATCGTATTGATTTTAAATTAATTTCTTGAAATTCATGCAGATTATCTTCGGCATAGTAGCAACAGGAGCTGGTACAGCATTAGGTGCAACAATGGATCTACAGAAAATTGTTTACAACGACGATAACTCAAAATATCATGACTTCTTGAACTTGATGTACATCCCATCTGCATTTGTTTGGGCTGGATTTGTGACTTGTGGAATATCTTCTATATTATCATCTTTGAGTTTCCATAAAGAGTGAATGAACAAGAATATTATGGAAACAAAATGCTTCCCCTATTTGTAGAGACAATTCTAGTTTTAAATAATGTAGTGTATCCATTTTTACATGTTTGTTGCTATGCAGGTATTGCCATTTCATTTTTGTTATTATCAGCAATTTCTTTTAGTTAGTTACTGATATAGTTTTTGTACAGTACGACATCCAAAATAACGAAGAGATGTGTATATTCTATAGCCCAAGGAATCTATAATCAGGGAAAATATGAATATATACCCCCTTTGTCCCAATGTTTGTCGCACACCTCAAATTTTTAAGAGTCAAACTTTTTAATTTTGACCGTGAATTTGGATATAGAATCATTAAGTTTTTTGAAGTAAATAAATTACATATTTGAAAACTGCCTATAAAGTACTCTAAGTTACGATAGTTATTAATTCAAAATATATAAAGGATATATGAAAAATTTACGATAAAAAAATACGATAAAAAAAAATTACGATCATTTTGACTCTCGAAATTAGAACTCTGCCCGTAAATTGGGACATAGGGGTAGCTTTTTAGGTACGGTCAAGACTCAAGTGTTTGTACACGTGGGTAAGTAGATATCAACATATATATCTTTTCTTCACTTGTGTCATTTTCTGCATTCATCCTAATAACTTTTATCTCCATTAGCTGAAAAAATGTTGGTTAATTTATCAGTCAAGGATTAAATTATATACACTAATAATATAATTATCTTTTTTTGCATCATCAAAGTTAGCTTAATATGTCATAACAGGTTATTTACTTGGTTAACTAAAAATTGTCATTTTATTAACCTGAACATGACATTTAAGTTCTAACTGTTAAACATAACTTAAACTAGTCATTCAATTGGATTTTTAAAAAAAATGGATAAAGGACATATTTGGACGTGGCGATGTCCCCGATATTATTTGTGAGAAGAAAGGAGGAGGTAGGATGTGATCTTTCTAATAAGAGCTTATATAATGCATCCAAAGAGGTATGGCCTAGTGATTAATAGAATAGGTCAGAGAATTTGAGGTCTTATGTTCAAATCTAATGGACACAAAAATACTAGATGATTTCTTTATCGATAGCTGTGTTGGTATGAGATAGTAGATAACTCTTGAAATTAATCGAGCCAGGTGAAAGAAATATTTATATAAATGATGAAAGACAAAACTAAAATGACTGGAAAAACAGACAAGTAAACTATATAGTCCGCGCAAAAGCTATTGAGTACGTTAGCTTGTGATCCAGATCGGTCATTGTATCTATAAATATTTGACTGTAAACTTAGTTATTATTGTCTATTAACTTGACATTACTATAGGAGCCTATAAATTTTAAAATCCCAGCTAGATCCGCCTATTTAGATAAGCTTTAAATGGATATCCTAATATATAATTGGTGGAGATCCCATCTGTTTACATAGAACTTGTACATGACAAACAAGATATATATATCTAGAAGATTATGACAACTATTCTCAATTTCTCATTACTTAGTTTTTTTATTTCAACAAAACATGCAATAGTATGAAATGGAGTAGTATTATAACTCCCATATCCATAAACCAGTTCTTCCTACTCAAATAGTAGTAAATGCATAAATAGTTCTGACATATATTAACTACTATTTCAAAAGAACTTTTGCTTATAGATTAGCTAAGGCAGTGAAGGAAATTGTAGGATATCTTGCTCACACTTACTACAAAGGAATATATCTGGAATAGCTTCTTGGTTTGGGATATTAACACAACGAGTGTGTTGCCAAACTTCACAAATATCACAACAAACCATCCTTTCACCATCTTCGTCTTTTGTCCCACAAAGGCAATCCACAACAATATTATCCTTAATTCCTTCAAATATCCCTATATTATTATGATCAATATTGGACATAACCCCTCCTAAAACAATCTTGTTTCCAGGTTTCATCACATTAAAAAACAATTCTGTACCAATAATAGGACTCAAATTGTTAATTGATCTTATGGCAAAGTTCCTTAGTCCCCAATAGATATTCCCAAATGTTCTTTCCACTTCAATCATTAGCTCATCAAATGTGACATCTTTTCTTAATATGAAGCACTCAAATGGGGTCATTACTTTTTCTTCAACCCCAAATCCATTCTTGGTTACCAACATAATTGCACAATAAATCTTTGATTTATCAACTTCAATTCTTGAATCGGACTCCCCTTTATATTCCTTGAGGAAGTATTTCGCGTCCAAGATTATTCGAGAAGTTGTTGGGATTGCAGCAAAGATGCCTGTGTAATTAGGCATTCCCTTGATCTCTTTTAGGATATTCTTGTACAAGAAATATATGTCCTTCATAAGTTGAACCCATGTAATTTTGTATTGTTGATTCCCTTTTGAGTCATTAACCCAAAAACCTTGATCATGCTTAGGGAATGCTTTAGATATGTCCTCTAAACAATATTCCAAAACTTTGGTTACTGGATTTAAGCATCGACGAACTAAATACTTCCCAACAATATGATTTCCCAATGACTTGAGCACGAAATCTAGTAATCCAGTGTCACCAATGTAAGCACGAGCAGCATCACGAACCTCTTGCCTAGAAATCCACCGCGATTCAGCTCTTTTTAGGGCTTCCACAACAACCCTAATAGCCATCTCAACGCGTTTAGGTGACCATCTACATGTGTTATCTACCAATAGCCCAGGGTAACACGAGCTAAGGTTACTTTCTTTTGGAATTCGCGATTTGAGCTCCAGCATGAAATGAAAGGTGTCACAAAGTGTGACTAATGTGTGACCTGATAACATTTGGTACCTTGATAACACTGTTAATATCTCATGATTATTTATGTGATGTGCTAATAAGGCTAATGGCATGTTTTGTATGGCATTGATTGCACTTTGATATGTTTCTTGAGTTACTCCAAAGCTTCCACGGCCAAATCTATAGCCCCAATGTCCAAACCATGGCTCACCATAGGCCACTGTGTTGAGTAGCCTTAGATCCATGCCTTTCTTCTGTGAGATATCCCTTAAGCTCACTTTCCTTCAAAATAAATAAAATATTAGAAAAATTATTTCTGCATCTGATCTCAAATATTAGTCGTTTTGGTAATTTAAATTTGTTTTAAAAGTTTGACGTTTTAGAAAAATAAGAAATCATTTAGTATTACTGTTTGTTGATTTGTCCTTATTGTATTAATTAAGTGAAACGTTTGAAAAAAGATAAAGAGTAATTTAGACAAATATTTATATGATTAAGACAGAGGAGTGTGTAAAAGCCTTAAAAGACAGATAATATGAATAAGAGAATATCATAAACTTGGAATATTATGTAAAGGTTAAACCTCTTGCTTAATTTATCAGAATATACATCTCTCATAAAATTAGACACAAGCTTTTATTTAGTCGTTGAGAATTGACTCTATCTAAAGATAATTTGAACTTTTACTTGACATCACCCGTATGGACAAAAAAATCTAAATTGTATGTCCCGTCAAATATGTTCGCATAAAATGAAACGGATAACAAACCTTGCACGTAGTCCAATGCAAAGGCGATCCCAGAAGTCCATGATAGAGTGGCCAGGCAAGTCAGAACCAGTCTCCAAACCATTGATACATAGCAAATGCCCAAAACCATTAGAGTGAAACACACCATGCATTATATGACCCTCTAATTCAATCAAATTCGACGACTTACTTCTAATTTCTCCTACTACTGCACCACCATTTGTATTATAAGTGTTTTGGTTACTGCCAGCTCCTTGATTATCATACCTCAAACAAGCTGCTACTGTGTCCTTTGAAGGCAACAGGAAATGGTACTTCTTGTTGCAGATCAGATGGTTTCCCCAGCCTGTGCTACATTTTAATTACTACAACCATGAGAATATAAAAACAACCTACCTAAAATAAGAACACAAGATTACAAAGATCTTCTTCCTTGATGCTAGCAACTCTTTTTTCTCATATTATTTGACATAATTAGGAACTAGTCTAATTACTTTAATACCCTTTGTTATATAAGAATCTTTACAATATAATACCCGAAAAATAATTTATTGGTAACCATCTATAATAATTGAGATTAGCAACCTAAAAAATACGTATTTTGTGGTGAAATTAAAAAATACGTATTCAAATAAGTGTGATTCACTTATTTGTTTTTCCTACGTGTATATATGGGGACAGATCACGTCCATTTTTCACCAGACACAAACCTAACAATGAAGTTACATGTTACGAAGTATTTCTATTCTTAAGTACATTCACTATCGTATCATTTGCAATATACATATATAGTTGACAACATAAAGACTTTTTGCACTATAAGTGTTAGGGCAGAGCCAGCATATCCGTTACAGGTTTGATCGAACCCAATAGTTTTGGTTCAAACCCTATATTTTATCTTGAAAAATTCATTGAATATATACAAATTTTTAATTTAGAATCCAGTAACTTAAAGAGATTAGAATTCCGAACCTATAAAATTCAAATTTTAACTTCGCCTCTTATGAGTATACCTTAACATATTATAGCAGGTTAGCTACTATTTTTTTATCTACTATGTTTTTATCAGGTTAGTCATGATAAATATTTCCTGAATCAAGAAAGTTAAACAAACTGTTACAATATAACTACACAATGATCAAATAAAGTTGAAAAACAAACAGTAGTTCTCAGATATGGAAGTTTGTATATACCTATATATTGACAGTGTTTGCAATGAGGATTGAGGGACAATTCAACTGGTTCTTCAACAACAAACAGGAATATATGCATCGGCGGATGTCGATGAACTTCCAGCTGAAATGACCAGATAGCCATGGCATGATCACCATTTTCTTCTTGCTGTGCAAATTCCAAAAGAAGTTTAACATTTTGTTCAAAGTTACACTCTATGAACTCTGTAGGAAACCCTTGTTCACCAAAAGTCTTGAACTTAAAAACCCTTTGGTCATTTCTCTTCCTTTTCTTTGATCCACTTAGATCTAAATTCGACATCTTAATTTTCTCCTTCATGTACAAACAAAGAGGAACCAAAATAACATGAATTTCAAGAAAATTTAAAGGGAGTTAGTAGTTACCACTTACCAACCTCTCTAGCTAGCTTAGGTTAAAAAAATTAAAGGAAACTAATAAAAAGGATCACATGTACTTTGCCAAAAGGACTAAATTTATAAAAGATTTTTACAAGCCTGTTGATAAGCATGAAATGTTTGTAGAAATTGGAATTGTTGCAAATCTATCGCAGAAAGCAAGAGTTACTTACATGCATGCAATTAAAAAATAAAGCCATGCTTTTGGCCATGACAAATCTTAACCATTTAAATTGCTTTGTGTCCCGGCAAATTCTAAGGTCAGTTGAGGCACGCTGAAAGTTACGTTATTTAGTATGAAAAATAACACAATATTACTGGCCAACTACTTAGCTAAGTCCTTTAATTTTAAGTAAGATTTTAGAGTTTAAACTCTTAATCGAGACATATAATCACTATCAAATTAAACACTTATTGTTCATGCAAAGCAAACCGTGAGGTATATGTTGGAGGTATTATGCGCAATAATAAAGGTGAATGAATCGTTGGATTATAAAATTTATAAATAAAAAAAAGTCCGGTAAAATACTCTTACTGACACTACTAAAAAGATAAGGATTAGCGACAGACAAAATATGTAGCTAAACAGAAAAATCTGTCACTAATTATATTTACCACTAATCAACAACAACTTTTCAAGAAATTATGTTAGCTACAAGCGTTTTAGCGACGAACTTCATAACTAATTTCAGCTTTTTTGGTAGTGTGTATTTTGACGAACCACCTAGGTTATACTTAAAAGAATGGGATAATGTACCAGCTAGACTCTCCTTATGTAATACTTCAATTTAATATCTATAATATTATCTTTTTTATGTAATATGAATAGTGTTCCAAAAAGCTATACATATAATAGTCCTTCTAAGTGAATGAGTTTAATTTGGAGTATGAGTGTTAAAGCATCTTATTTGCACCATGAATTCAGACATAACTTGTTTAATACAAAATAAAATTTATAACCTCAGAACTTTCAAAAAAGGTACTGTAGATAATAAACATTACTGTAACAAAGTATTTAAGAAATCATAAAGGATAAGATAAATTGTTTCACCCTCTAAATAGTTTTGAGATAAAATGTGTCAAAGTATATCCTTCGGACTTCTCTGGAAGGGAAAAAAAAAGAGTTTTACACAGTAGCTGCCCCAAAATAATAATGGATAAATGTATATTTTTTATATATATTAATGTATCTTTATATATATATATATATATATATATAAGTTATATATGTGGTACAAATACGTATAAAAAATATATACGACATATTGATGAAATATTTACATTATAAATTATCACAATATAATATACTTAAAATATATTAAAAGTATATTTTGAGTTAAAATAAAATTGTACAGAAAAAGGTTTAAAACTCAACAAACAAATGAAATTCTCATTGTGTAGAGGGAATTATTTTTGAAATATTCTTCTTTTAGAATCTTTTATATATTTGGGTAAGTGTTATTTATGGAAGAGAAAAAAATTATGAAAGACTTGGAAAAGGAAATGTAGTAAAAAGTGTCCACCGCAATCGAAAATATCCAGTAATTTTGACAAGCACATGAAGACCACAACCGTCAATGAGCACCCTAGATGCAGCAGAACCAAAGAAATGCACCTCAAAGACATAGTACCAACGCCAAAACTCCAATTATGGGTGGAAGACAAAGCACTATGAATATCTCGAAGCCCTCATTTGCGGCCACAGTTCATACCAGTCTGGCAAGTACCTCCGACTCTAAGAAGCAAGTGGAAATCAGACATGGAACTCATCTTGGTAAGCCTGCTGTCTTTTTCAGTGATGAGGACTATTTTATGAATTTAGCCGAAGATTGCAAATGGACAATAATAGAGAAATTTACCAAAGGAAGACCAAACATGGAGGAGATGAGAAAACTTTTCATCAGCCAATTCCATCTCAAAGGACCTGTTAAGATTGCATACAAAGATCATAAATGTATTTATATTGATTTCAATAACGAGGACGATTATAATCATATTTATCTTAAGCCATACTTAGTTCTTGGAGGTCACCACATGAAAATACTCAAATGGACTACAGATTTCAAACCGGAAGTTGAAACTTCCATTGTACCTGTTTGGATACTTATACACCAACTGCCTTAGCATCTATTTATATGGGAGATAGTTTCAAGAATGATTTCAGCTGTTGGACATGCAATTGCACCTGACCAAGACACATACTCCAAATCTAGGGGTAATGTGGCTATGGTTAAGGTTGAAATAGATCTTCTTAAGCCTAAATTAAATGAACTTTGGCTAGGTTTTAAAAGGCTCGATGGCAGTGAAGATGGAGAATGGCTTCAGATAGAGTATGAAGATGTCCCAAGTTATTGCAACTATTGCAAACTTCAGGGGCATAATGAAATCCAATGTTGGACAAAGGCCAGGGATGAGAGAATTAAGAAACAGATGGAGGAAGTGCAGAGCAATCCTGTAATCATTACTCATGTACCAAATGTTAATAGTGATGGCTTTCAGAATGTGACCAAAAAGAAAGAAAAAAGTTCAGGTAAAAAGACTGTGGGTTTTGTTAATGAGAATATGGTTAACATAAATACAACTCAAAATTCAAAGACAAGTTCTATCCAAAATGTTAGGGAGGCTTCAAACCAAAATGACAGGGAGAAGAACACTTCAGGAACACAAGAGAATAGGGTTCCTTCTTCTTGAGAACAAGGGAACAAAACCGCAGCAAGTATCGCAACAAATAAGGAGATTCAAGAAGAAATAGTGGAAATTATTTATATAAAAGGAGGTCGGATTGGGAATGCAACAAATCAGTGTTCTACACAAAGGTAATTGGGTCCAGTTGAAGTATCAGTGAGGCAACAGGAGCAGAATGCTAAAAGTAGTAAATCCAAATCAATTAGTAATAAGAATCCAGAAGTCCATGCAGTTCAAAAGTCACATGACAAAATTATAATACAAAAGGCATCTCAAACCATCAACCATACGATCCAGACTGATCATCAATCTGTAGGAGATCAGCAACTTACCATGTCACCAACTAGCCAAGATTCCCTTACTATTGTACCAAAATCACCTAGTGAGGAAGGTAACACCACTAGGGTTCATGATCATGGTGAGGAGTTTTCGGATGCATCAAATAAGGGTAAAGAATACTTGTCATCTGGGGAAGAAGATAATGATGACGAATATGAGAGCATAGAGGGAGATACCTCCAGTGATGATCAGGGAAAGGAAATAACTAATATGAGAGCATAGAGGGAGATACCTCCTCTTTCTAATGTCAGAGAAAGAGGAGGGGGGAGACAAAGAGGTAGAGGTAGAGGCATAAATAGCCAAAGTATTCATAATACCAGGGCTCAGGCCAAGTCAGCTAAGACCATTTCATCATCAACTTTCCATGATTAAGTCAATAGTGTGGAACATTAGGGGTGTTAGGACCCTTGGTGCCTTTGAAAGGTTAAAATCACTTAAGTTGTCCAACAAAATTTCTTTTATTGCCTTGTTGGAACCCCTTTCCAACATAAGAAAAATTCAAATATAAGAGAATGCTTTATTCTAAGTTTTATTTTGCTAGTGAAAATAACAAGATTTGGATCTTCTCTGATGAATTTGTAGAATGCGAAGTGGTGGATGAAGATGAACAAGTCATCACTTGTGAGCTAGGAACGCCTGAGGGTATTCAATGCTTGGTGTCAATTGTTTATGCTAAATGCCAACACCAATTGAGACTACCACTATGGGATACTATTAGGGGTATTGCAACTTCTTATTACCTTCCATGGGCAGTAATTGGTGATTTCAAATGTATTACAGATACAGTTGAGAAGAAAGGTGGTCTTCCCCACAAAGCTTATAAAAGTATTCCTTTCTAGAATTGTATGGTAGATCGTTGCCTTACAGATGCTGGTTATAATGGTTCTATATATACTTGGTACAATGGTAGGTCTCCAAAATATATAATCTGGAAGAGATTGGATAGAGCATTACTGAATTATGAATGGCTGGACATATTCCCTAAGACACAAGTGTCACATTTGAGTAGGGTTGGCTTTGATCATTCCCCCTTATTGGTTACCACTGAAAAACAGCATAGGCAAGAAAAAATATACTTCAAATTTTTGAATCTATGGACCGAACATCCTGAGTTCCTAGGGGTGGTAAACAATGCATGGAATAAGGAAGAACAGGGAGGGCCTTTTTGGAGTTTCCATTTGAAGATGAAGAATATTGTTGCAGCTTTGTCTATGTGGCCTAAAGATAAAATATGGGACATCTTTGCCCGGACTAAAGAGCTGGAGAAACAAGTGTTAATATGTGAAGAGAGATGCTTAAACTCCAATACCATTCAAGATGGGGAACAACTAAATAAGAAGAATGTTGAGACGATTAGACACTTGAAGTTAGATGAGTCTTTCTGGAGGCAAAAAGCTGGTTTGAGATGGGTTGCTTAGGGTGATTTCAACACCAAGTTGTTTCATTCCTCTGTCAATAGGAGGAGGAGGAAACTTCTGCTACACAGAATTCAAAAGGGTAATGGATCTTGTGCAATTGGGGAGGAGGAAATTTCTACAAAAGCCACGAAATTCTATCAAAACCTTTTCAAGAAGGCCGATCAAAATATTAACCAAGCAATATTCAATACTATCCTTAAATTGATTGAATAGTCAGATAACAAGGCCTTGATTACTTTACCTACCGAGGAGGAAATTAAAGAAGTGATTTTTTCTTTGTATGTTGATTCATCTCCAGGACCTGATGGCTTCTCTGCTAAGTTCTACCAAACATGTTGGGGTATTATCAAAGGGGACCTTGTTAGGATGATTAGAGCTTTTTTCTCTGAGAATTCCATTCCTAAATCTATCACCCATACATGTCTTGTTCTCCTTCCTAAGATTGATAATCCCAAAATCATGT